AGAAACCTACAGATATAAATCAACAATACTTCTAAATAAAGTAAAAAATGCATTTAGCATTCATTAAAGTATATTCCACTGCGTGTCCTATTTCCCCGCCCATAAATCCTTATAACCACCATTTTCATAGAAAAACATGCAGGAAGTAGGGATTAATGAGTGGGCCTACATAAGCTACTGTTGCCGAAGTGGCACCCTCACGACAGGGCGTCTTAAAACATCAACCACTTGAAGCAGTTAATGGGCAAAAAGGTCTTGGTATGTTTACTAAAGACAACTTAAGTCTCACAGCACAATGCTTTAATGTCACAGCGCGCGCAATTTCGAGTACGAGCTCCATAAGAAGAACATTTGTTAAATTGAATGCAGATTTATACCGTAAAGTATATGTAGCATTCGTGTTGCCGTGTGGTGACTTGCTCGCGTAGAAGTGAACTTTGCCAAAGCTCACGGCCACTGTCCTCGATTTCATGCGACAACCAATCACAAATGCCGCAGAGCTGGCCTCTGGCCCGCAAGCGAATAACACGCCTGTACGCGTACGCCGACGCTGTCTGTCTGGCCAAAAACTTTCAAGGCCGACGTAGACAATGACCGTTCAGATTGGCCACTGCCATGACTGCTGTAAAACCCCCACATAGGACAAGGCTAGCCTCCTAGCTGATCGTGCGCTCCGAAGTCAAACTTTTTCCTGCTTATTCTCCTTTTCTCTATATACAGAATAAATCATTCCTATTATTCTGGCTTCCATTGACTTCTTTTCTCCTAAGGAACCATTATCTGAAGATTGCAGTTGCTAGGATTTAACAAGCTTGACCCCCTGCGATAGCCGCACCTGGACTATGCGGTACAGGCTTGGTGGACTTCGCTTCGGAAAGATATGAGTGATTGAAGGCGTCCAAGGACGTACTACAAAGACTGTCCCTGAATTCAAACAGTTGTAATGCGAGCAGCATCTGCCTTATATCTCTATCGATTAATAAGGGGAACGACTCTGGATGTCAAGTGATAAAATATTTTGAAATGCCACGAAAGAATCTCTGTAGAAACGATTACCAGCTTAAAAAGGAGTTATGTCGTAAGAATGGTCGTTATTCCTTTTTCGTGCACAATAATTCGTCACCGGAACTCTCCGAAGACGTATGTTTGGCATAAACCTGCTGCGACAGTCTTCACGAGACACCTGAATAATCGCTTCGAGCGTCTTTTTCGGTGTGGTCCACCATGTGCTCCACGGCAAGATGATGCATGGACTGTGAATTGAGCATGGATTAGTTTTGAGTCACAGGAGACTTGCGCTGCATCTACTGCACTCTCTGACCGCTCACCCACCTGTGCCTGTTGTCAAAACAGCATTTAGAACACCGGAGGTAGGAGAAGACACAGGTGGCTGGTGCAGTACGAGCCCACACCTACGCGTGCCAACACATCCCCTTGTGTACGATATTTTTTGAGACTGCAGCCAGGTTAACGTTTGCCGTACCCCGATCTGGTCCCCGTGTTGGACTAGCGCATCTACCAAGTGCCCGTTCAGGGGGTAAACCTGCATCATCACCTGTTAATGGCGAACCCGAACTTTCATCACCTTTTAAAACGGATAACTTAGATACCTAAAAACAAACTGTAACCTTTGTTTCTATTTGAGGCATTACCAACAAAGACAGGGGCACTAGAATAGTCATTTCCGGCTCATTAGCTGTCGTCAGCCAGTGATACCAAACTCCAGTGTTGCCGCTGAACTTGCTGCCATACTCGAGTTTCGAACCCGTGACCTCTCTGATCAGAGTCTAACGCCCTCACCATTGAGTCACGGGCTCGCCGTCTCGTCGGTTCTTGATCAGGAATACACAGTAGTAAATAAGCCTACACCGGTCCGTTTCCGGAAGCACCCTTCCTGTCTTTGTTAGTAATGCCTAAAATAAAAACAAATGTTACTGAAACATAGTGAGTAACATTACAATTAGTCGCCTTGCGACATTCGCTCGCACGCGTTAAACTCGAGAGGCATCAATCAGGACGGACGCGTCCTGAAACGGATCGGTGTACACTTATCTACCACAATACTGCTAGCTTGATTTCAAAAGATAGTCATTTTTATTTTAACTTTGACGCGGGCAGAAATTTTAACACGCAATTGCAGTGAACCTGTCACACACTGTTATATGGCAAAGGCCGCAACTTAGCCCAATTTATGTTTCATGATAGTTTTATGCATCACGCTTATTAAATGAACTGTAAAACCTTTTGTAATTACTTTGCATGTATACTTGTATCGTTTAATTGGAAATTTAAAGGGCTTCTGGTATCTACACTAACTATACAGATTGAATGAATATTAATTGGCATCCTAGAGAATTCTTGCTCCGAAGGTGCCAAAATTGATGGTCGAAGCAAAGATCGATCGACCAAACAGATGGTCATCGTCTAAAATACACACCTAACGTTAGATAGTAGCTGCTGAATCTAACTGTTCAAGTCCACGCCCCCGAGCACAGGCCACGAACGATCTGTCGTGACATGATGACAGTGAGCAGCCGTCACGATCAAACCCAATCGATTGGATGCGCGGGCAATTAACTTCTACCCGAATCTCAGGAATTATCGATTAGTAGAAAGGCGAAGGTACAGCC